GAACCTTATTGCAAAAGTGGCAATGGGACGGCATTGTCCTAGGGGTGGCAGAGTGGCTTACCGGGTGCATATGTAGGCTGTGTAGCCCACACAGTTCCTTCCACCAACATCTGGATGTCGTTCCCCAGCATCTGGCACCTGAGTCAGTTGCTGCACTCTGCCCCATGCTCCGCAAGCAGGCTTAAGCATGCACACCTCTAGCTGAGTAGGGAATCCCATGTGCAAATCACAGAACCATAGAAGGGACCTAGTCGGATCTCCTGAAATGCAGGAATCAAATGGGTTTCTTGGTGTTCAGTTCTCCAAGTGCAAGGCAACAGCCAGGAATCTAGAACCCCACTAGTCAGGAAGTGGGATGAGGAAGCTGTGGATCTGAATAGCCTGTGCATGCAGCATTCACAGCCAGCTGGTTTCATACATTCTTTTAGAATTTCATTTATTCTTTTAGAAATAAAACTTAAGCCCAATCCTAGGAGTTACTGCACTTTGTCACTCAGTCCTAGGACCACTGCAAGGAATGGCTAGCCCCTTGATGATGGCACTGAGCACTGGACAGTCTTCAGCTATATTGTGCTTGTGGTGCCAGCTGTACTGTGGTAGGGCCACCGTAATGACTTGATGCAGAAGGAAACAGTGACACTTCCTCCCATTTCCATATTTTACATGGTAGTGAGGAGGACTCCAAAGACAGGTCCTGGCCAGATAGCTCTTTCCGACTCCCCAGATCGTGTGATTCTGCTTTGGCCGCAGCAGTGCAACCGTTCCTTGGAAACCATGCCCACCTGTGAGGGGTTTGTAGTCAAATCACAAATGCATGTTTTGCTAGACAAGAACAGGGCTAGTACACAGAGCGTTCTTAAGCTTCCTAGAGAGGACCCTCTATGTGTGGTCACTTCCTTTGCCTCATCTGGGCGGGAATTCTGAAACAAAGGAGACAATCCTTTATATTTCCTTCTGCCTGTGAGAAGACTCTCTCCTTCTGCCATGCCTCCAAGCTGACTAGACATGCATGGCTAAAGCTCCTGCTTTCAGCCATATTAGCTAAGACTACCAACTTTTATTTTACTGTAACGTAGAAGTTACAGAGTGGCTGGAGCAATCTAGCCAGATGGGTGGGCTATAAATAAAAAAAACTATTAGTATAAATATTATTATTGTAAGTGTTTTTCTGCACATGACGTGGTTGTATTTGCTGCCTGCATTGATATGTAAGTAAATCTTTTTACTCTTTATCTTATTAAAAACACTTGGTTCATTATCTGAAATGGAGCTGAAGAGGGAAAGGTCAACACACCACAAATAAAAGGAGGTAAAAAGATAAAACTCCCTAATTCCTAAGCTTTAATAAGTTGCAAAACTTATAAGTGTTTTATAGTTAAAAAGGCTACAGCCAGATTACATTTGTATTTCTCCAACACACGTGGGGTAGGAGGTTTACATAAAGTTTCCAAAAGTCATACAACATATTTTCTTATCTTGTACAGTGTTTTGGACTTCCATCAACCACATCTGAAGATTTTTCAATCTTTATAACTTAATCTAAATTTCATTAATTTCACTATTACAGTGGTACCTCAGGTTACATACGCTTCAGGTTACAGACTCCGCTAACCCAGAAATATTACCTCGGGTTAAGAACTTTGCTTCAGGATGAGAACAGAAATCACGCTCCGGCGGCGCAGCAGCAGGAAGAGGCCCCATTAGCTAAAGTGGTGCTTCAGGTTAAGAACAGTTTCAGGTTAAGAACGGACCTGCGGAACGAATTAAGTACTTAACCCGAGGTACCACTGTACTTTTAATAGTCCTTCACTATTCTCTTCATACTTTTCTCTGCAATATTTTGCATAGTCCTCCTTACAAAAATTCTTGTAAACCTACTAGCGTAATCTGTTGATTACGATTGTTTTTCAAATAATTCATGTATTTACTCCAGTCCTCTGAGAATCTCTGGTCCCGCAGGTTTCACATTCTTCCTGTCATCTTGTTTAATTCTGCATAGTCCATTAATTTCGTCTGCCATTCTTCTTTCGTCGGTAGTTCTTCTTGTTTCCATTTCTGTGCCAACAATACTCTTGCTGCTGTTGTTGCATATAAAAACAGTTTATTATCCTGTCTATTAATGTTCTCACTTACAATGCCAAGTAAAAATGCTTCTGGTTTTTTAATAAATGTATATTTCAACATCTTTTTCATCTCATTATATATCATTTCCCAGAAGTTTTTTCACTTTCTTACATTCCCACCACATGTGATAAAAAGATCCTTCTTTTTCTTTACATTTCTGACATTTATTACTTGTTTTATACATTTTAGCTAATTTCACTGGTGTAATATACCATCTGTACATCATTTTCATCACATTTTCTTTCAAAGCATTGCATGCTGTAAATTTTATTCCTTCTTTCCACAGTTTTTCCCAATCTTTTAACTGAATATTATACCCAAAAGCCTTGGCCCAGTGTATCATAACTGACTTTACTTCTTCATCTTTCAGATGCTCTTTCCCACAACCTTTGCACACCTGACATTATATGTGAGATCAGGTTTGGGGCAGGTATGGACACAGCTACGAAAGAACAACCGGGAGCTTAAAGTTGAACTCTCTATTGTACCTGTTGAACTCCCTAGTGCAATCAGGCAGGGTGGAGGAATCACTTTGCATTCAAAATGCTTCCACCAAACAGGACATTTTTTCCTTGTAAAGGAGAAAATAACACTCTGCTTGGGGGAGGTATTTGAATCCAAAGTGCTTCTTCTACAGATAGAGAAATGCTCTATTTTTAAACATGGCAATGCAGAGGAGAAATGATTTGAATCCAAACAGCTTCTCCCCCCAAATGGGCTTCAGGTGGACTTCCGGTAACCGCTGATCAACAGATCAGCAGTTACAGCAAGTTCCTTTGAAGGTGATCCTACCCAATTGTCAGAGTTGACCTATGAAGGAAAGGGTGACTGTCAATACAGCCCACCCACTGGATTCAGTTCCCCACCCCCAATTGGTTGGAAATCCCAAACCATTGAAAATTCTGCCCTGCTTTAATGGACAACTTTGCACATGAGTTGCCAAGTGCAGCCAGTACCATTACTGAACTCTTGGCTAAAAAATTCACAACTACAGTTTTGCCATTTCTGATTCTCCAAGTGATGTTGGAGACAAGCAGATGTGGCATGATAAGTAAATATTTATAATCTCTTTTATACTTCACTTGGTGAATGCGCAGCATATTCTGGGATATCATCCAATAGCGTTTCCCCTCTTTTTAAATAGAAAGATTTTTAAAAGGCAAGGAGAATGTCTTGAACCTAACACTATTTTAATGTGTTTTTAAAATAATGCCGAATCTATGGATTATTATACAGATATTTTCGTTGGCTGCTTTTCTGTGCAAACGAGACAAACTAGAGGGAAAACACCTAACACGGGTCACAAAATTACATTGCAATGGAACATTCGCTGATTAAAGGCTTGATCTCAGCAGCTGTGCTACTAAGTACGAGAGAATGACAAAGTCACCCAATGAAGGAGGACTCATGAGGATCAACCCCTGGGGCCTCTGTGCTTGTGTTCAAATACTGGGGAAGAGGGAAACAAATCAAACTAAATGATTGACCTGCCACTGAAAGCTCAGGTAGACAGAAAGTGCCATAAAGAAGGAAGGCAAAACAAATCAACATTTCTTAATTCTCTTTAAAACTAGCTGCAAGTGATATAATTGAGGCACAGTTGCACAATTTTGCTCACATAACGTTTGTTTTGTCTTGTGATCATCACTGGCTGAATAGGTTTTTCAGGTTTCAAATACTACACAAAACCTGCAGGACCTGTTTGAGCAGAGGTCATAATGGGGCCAAAGAAGGGAATGTATGCCCCTAGTTGATTTTTATGGGCATGGCAAATACATTACTTACATATAGCACCACACTTTGCTTTCAAGGCTCTGGTTTCAGTAATACAGCTGAATATTTCTACTCTGAGGAGATCGAGTTCTGCCACAGTTTCTCTCAGAAAATTTTCTTCTGAGGACATTAGTGTTGAATGAAACTCTGCTCTTAGTTCATATTGTTGGATGAGAGAAGCAATGGGCTACGAGAAAAGGAGCAGGGGCTAAGACCTTAAATGAAACTTTAAAAATTTAAACAATTAGAGGCTGCAGCTCTGTTCACTTCACTCTCCAACTCCAACTAGCTGCATAACACCTTTCTAGCAAAGCCACCCAGCCACTCCATTTACTCCTTGCCCAAACCACCCGACATTCATTTTTTATTTATTTTATTGCATTTATCTACAGCATTTTCTTCCAAGGAGCTCAGGGTGGTTGCCATGGTTCTCCCCCTCCTCTCTCCCTCCCCACAACAACCCTGTGAGGCAAGTTAGGCTAAGAGGTAGCGACTAGCCCAATGTCACCCAATGAGCTTTGTGGCTGAGAAGGGATTTGAACCCTGACTTCTCAGGTCATAGTCCAACACTCTAACCATTACGCATCACTGGCTTCCTCCTCACCAAAGCCATCCATCCCCTCCAATTGTACTTTGCAAAACCCAGCCCTCCATTTAGACCTCTTCAAAACTCCACAGTTTGCCTGGACTGCTCACTTGCCAGCTGCTTGTCCACTTGTTAGCCTGGAGCACTCACCTAGCCGCCTCCATTTCCAGTTTGCTCTTTCTCACCCTCCAGTGCTACTGCATAGCCCAGCAGTTCTGAGAGCCTAGTTTCTCATTGTTCAGTAGTTTGCAGTGCCACCTGTTGGTGGCTCCATAAACTGCAGCATGATGATATTCGTATCTTTATTATATATCAGATATGATCCACAGTTGTCACCATGTTAATCTGTTGCAAGGAAAACAACATAAATTCTGGTGGCACCATAAAAACTAACAGACTTTAAGGTACCACAAGACTTCAAATTATAATTGGTCAAAGCCACATGGGCACCAAGCCATATAGGTACTACCACTAAACATACAAGACATACCATGAGGAACTCATGCTAGAGGGATGCGCCGTAGCTCAGTGGTAGAGTATATGTTTCGCATGCAAAAGGTCCCAGGTTCAATCCCTGACATCTCCCAGTAGGGCTTGGGGGAACTCCCTAAAATGCTGGAGAGTCACTGCTAATTCAGTGTCAGTAAGACTGAGCTAGATGAACCAGTCTAAGGCAGCTTCCTATGTTCTCATGTACCTAGGCTGTCCGTGTTCACCAGTGAACACTAGTGTGAGCCGGTGAGAATTTGGTGCAAATGGGACCTTTGCACATCCTAGTTCCATGAAGGTATCCATTCTAATGCAAATTTCCTTGCCAATGCACTTTGATATACCGGTAAGCACAATCTTCTCTAGTTATAATCCACCATGTTCTTATAGGCTTTGTCTTGTTCTCTAAAAGCTGATTGCAAGTGTGCTTCCCTCTAAAATAGCATGACTCTCTTTTTGATGCCCTCTGTACATATGCTTGCAACCCCCCCCCCCCATCTCTCCCTCCTTTCCAAGTTTCTTTCATGTTATCCATTGGTTTTTCTGTTTCTCTTGCTTTAGCTACTGGTCTTAAGGAATGTCAGTGTTTCATGATTGTCTTGTGGTTTGGCTTTCTCTATCTGGTTTCGCATTCAGTTCTAGCCACTAAACGGGCTGGCATCGCCTGCTAGGTTTTTACATAGCACTGCAAAGTGGAAAAACTAGTTCTATCCAGCTTCCCTTGTTAGAGATGAGCCGGCTGTTAAATGCTTTTCCAGAATTCTAGCACGAATGCTGGATTTAGTTGTGACCACATATCCAAATGTTCTAAGGGTTTTTTAAAAATGTATGGAAAACAATAGGCTTGCCACTGAAAGACATACAATGTATTAACATATTCACATTCACTTCCAGTGATATCAGATCTTAACATGATGGAAATGAACGCTGGAAAAATGACATAAACAACATATGCTGGGGAGGGAGGCATCTGAAATGTGGGGATTATCAAGTACACAGACACAAATACTGTACTGACCTACCTATGAGATGTAATCTACTGGGAGCAGTCAAGTACAACATTGTTTTGCTAGAGTGGTCATGCAGGGGATGTTGGTCCAGCCAGTCGAACTTCCTGTTACACCTGGCTGGTGCATCCTTCCTTGCATGTGACTGGTAGGTGGGCGTGACCTTTCCAGACCTGGTAAAAGGTCGTCACACAGCCACCTCCCTCTCTTTGACCTTCTTTTTCATCCTATGAACTTCCTGGTTCACCTGGACTGTACTACTGGCTGCCAGCCAGCCAGCAGTCCCCCAGCTTATCTCCCATATGGGGTAAACCTGTTTGTACATGTTTGTAACTTCAAGCCTAAAGCTTGCCTTTAGGAATCACACTGTGCTCTGCCTGATCATGAATAAAACTACTTTTTGTTACTTATGAATAAGACTGTTGTGTCTTTATTCTTTTAGGAGGGATCAAAGGGGTCTTACCAGGAATAATAGAACATAAACGGGCTCAGTTCAGTATACCTGAAGGAGCATTTCCACCCCCATCGTTCTGCCCAGACACTGAGGTCCAGCACCGAGGGCCTTCTGGCACTTCCCTCGCTGTGAAAAGCCAAGTTACAGGGAGCCAGGCAGAGAGCCTTCTCGGCAGTGGCACCCGCCCTGTTGAACGCCCTCCAACCAGATGTCAAAGAGTAAAACAACTACCAGACTTTTAGAAGACATCTGAAGGCAGCCCTGTTCAGGGAAGCTTTTAATGTTTAATAGACTATTGTATTTTAATATTTTGTTGGAAGCTGCTGGGGAAACCCAGCCAGATGGGCGGGGTATAAGTAATAAATTATTATTATTATATCTCAATCTGGGCAAGCCAGATTGAGTTGCTTGTTGTCTTAAGAGACTCACATGAGTATGCAACCAGCTTTCTGCTGTGTAAGAAGGGGAATGTGATTCTGCTATATAAAGGAACTTGCTAGCGTGAGTTCAGAAGGATATTAATAATCAATTTATCCTTTCCTACCACCCTCAACATTCCCACACTACCTTGGTTAGGAGTAGTGAATTCAGATACTCAAGCAACCTAGATATCAAGGTTTGGAGAGAAAGGGAATTCTTCAGACTGGAACAGAAATTACACATTTCACAAATGCGCAAATCCAGAAAAAGCAATCTGTGCACAAAAGCAAGCTCTGGATTCCTCCCATAGGAGGGCCGTGTGGAAGATGTGATCACCCCTGCAGTGTGGAAGGATCCTAGCAATTCATTTATGGGGAAGAGCTCAGTGGAAGTGTGCATACTTTGTGCGCAAAAGGTTCCAGGTTCAACTGCTGGGCTGGGAAAGACTGAAATCTTGGAGAGCTGCTTCCCGTCAGTGCGATCCTTGGTCCATGTAGCTCAGTGTTTGACTAGCACACTTGAGCTCATTGTTTAGCTCTCTGAAGGCAGCACTCAGCTAGATGGACCAAGGATCTGACTTGCTATGTTTTTGAATTGTGTATTCATTCTGAAGCCGCCCCAGTTATTGCTTATCTGGTGGGGTAGGGCTCCGAATTACGATTTTTCTCCCACCTCCCACAGCCCCATCCCACCAACCAACCATATTGGTGGATCAAACCAGTAATGATAATAATTTATTCAGCATAGCCTCTGGGGGCCTCAGGACTGAGGACTTTTTTATATATAATCATCCTAAACATTTTCAAGCTATCAGTAGCAATATGACACTTGTGCATACGATCGTGCTCTCCTCCCCATGTCCCAAGTCGGTAATTCATGTTCGCATTTCTCCCCCTTAATAACAAGTTTGATCCCTCGGCTGCTGGCAATTGGTCATTGAAAAAAAATCTCCTGACATAAAGAAGGTATCTGCAAGATAAAGTTGTACAAGGGATGATTAGCGGCACTTAAGTTTCCTTTTTGTTGAAAGGAAGAATCCCTGATTGAACAGTGCATTGAATGATATGACAAGCGAGTACTTGATCCCTGTCCAGCTGGAAAGGAATTGTATTCATCAGCAGCTTTTTCAGCTAAGGATGTCTTTATATTTTCACTCTTTGTCTGAGTCTCTCCAGATCCTCCCTTTACTTCATGTCAGCACTATATAGTAGGTATGCCAAGTGGTTTTGAAATTTAAATTACAGTCTCTCTTTCAGATGTTATTGGAAAGAACATGTAATTTATAACCACGTGTTAGAAGTACAGGATGTTCATGGTTCGCTGCCAATTCTTCTTTTGTAAAGTTAATAAAACTTTTCATAAAACACTTACATACTTGTATATTTCATGGTAAAGATTTTTTTTTTCTATCTCAGAGGCTAATGTAAAGATTTATTAAAACCATTCTTGTTAAGGGGAGTGTCAATAGTCTGCAGCTGAGTATAATTTCGCATTCCCACTAGATGACGGTCTGACTGAAAAAAAATGACAGTAACAGCTTTGTTGATTTAGCGCTAAAAATACAAAAAAGATACTTTCAAATGATAGAAAGCTCCTGATGCTCAGAAAGTGTGCTGCTGAAATGCACTCAAGGCCCAGCAGTAGTCACAGTGAAATTCTTGCAAGCTCTATGAACTTTGCTGCCCGTTCCACCACTAGGCTAAGACTCAGAACTGGCAAAAGAACTCAGACCTGTGCTGGCTGGTGCCTGTCAGCAATGGTAGGACAGAAGGCAGAGTGACCAACAGGTGGAGCCAGAGCCAATGGCCAGCAAATCTAACCAATCCTGGTGTGGTTCCCCCTGCCTTCTTCCTTCCTGCAGTATTCTATAAGAACAGCACTGAGACTAAGGAGGCGGAAGCTGACAGGGGGTTGCAGGCAGGTAGGGTTTTAGCGAGGTGCCTTGTTTGCCCTCGTGAACTAGCTGCCACTTGGGCTGGGGGCTGATTGAGGGCAGATAAAGGCTGGTAGGACACTTCTGTCCCAGACAGCATTCTAATTAGACAGTTCAACTCCTTAGAATCTGGGGGTGTTCAAATTGGTGCCCCTGGGAGCAAGCTAGGGATGTGTGGTTTTAGTTCCAGCAATGCCGGTGGAAAGGGATGAGCCTCTACACCAAAATGCATTTTAAATGGCTCTCCCTTCATACCTGTATTTAATAAAACTAAGATAGAGGGAATGGGAACTGCCCACTATTTTTCCATTCTACAGTTCAGTTCACCACAATACTGTTATCAGTGGTGCAATTTAAAAAAAAAATTCCCATGGAAATTCATCAGTATTTTAGTCCACCTGTCTTCTATCACACTCCCCTTTTTGTCTGAATTTTTGCCTAATAAAATGTTTTTGCAAATATATGCATTTTTATGCACACTTTTCTCTAACATTTGCATCTTTGTACACATTATTTGGTTGTAGAACAAAATTGCAAACTTTGGAAAAGTGTGGATTTCAAATGTTTGCTGTGCTTGAATTTGTGCCTTGTTTGAGGAAGTGAGAATTGGGTACATCCATATTAAAATGTGTTTTTGAGTGGTGGTTGTCTAGGCAGAGGTTTCCCCCCAGTTCTGCGCCTTGAGATCCTTTTACATAGAAGAGCCATGGATTGAACTGGGGTCTTCTGCAATGGAGGACCGTCTCAAGATATAACTGAAGGGAAATTGAAAACAAGATGAATAAGAGAAAAAGACTGCAGAGTGCTAGGAAGTGTCACATGCATTCCTAAAATTATTCCCCCAATGAAAAGAAAATAAATCATATGCACTCAGTCACATAGACTAATACACATAAAAAACCCAATGGCAATGGAGGGAGAAGAGAGACTAGTTAGTATATCCAAATACATCAGATCATTTCATAAATCTGGATAACTCACAGCTGAATGGGTGAACAATCCCAATGAAAAATCATTCAAGGGGTTTTGACCTGTGATGGCTCATTCACACATCCAAGTCAGCGCTTGATGCTACAGTCACCAGCTTAGGAATGTGAATGTGTGAACCGCTTGGAATGCATCCTGCTCAAATCTGAGGCAAGGAATCATGGTGCATGAATGTGACTAGTACAGACAACAGATGTTTTGTTGTTGGAAATGATAATAGGATTTGGGGACACTTGCATGTCAAACTTGATCATGTTACTTCAATTCATCCTCCCTGTGTGAATAAATAAGAGCAT